ATGAGAGATTTCAATTTCTTTAACATATCCTCTGACAATTTTTCACCATACATCCGAGTAAAACAAAATTCAATATAGTCAAGCTTATAACGAGGATCAAGATAAATAGCAACAAAGAGAAGATAATTTATTGTATTGCTTTCCCAATACTTGTTGTACTTCAATTGCATATTTGTTGTCATGGTTTTCAAAATTGGATCACTAACATTGTGCCTCCATTTATTCAACGTTTTTTTAATATCCATCAACTGTTTGAAAAAAGAGTTAGCAGTAACATGCAATGACCCAGAAAAAGAAAGTGTGGCATCATAAAAAGTTTTCAAAAACTTCACAAAAATACGAGCTCGTTCCCAATCAGCTCGATTAGGACATCCTTTCGACTCAATACGGAGATTAGTTAAAAATGCAACATCAGCATGTTCTAAGCGGTAAAATGCATGTTCATACTTTTCAGCGATGTTCAACATTAAATAAGTAGAGTTCCATCTGGTTTCTACATCTAGTGTTACCAATGCTTTAGAACATACACCAACAACTTCTGCACACTTCTTGAAAGTAGCCAACCTACTAGGAGAAGCCTTGACAAACTTACATGCAGCCCTAATTCTTTTAACAGATTCATCAATATCCTTTATTCCTTCTTTGACAATCAAGTTTAATATGTGAGCACTACATCTCATATGCAAGTACTCCCCATTAAACAAAGTACGACCATTCCAAAAACTCATGCCTCGATTTAAATAATCAACTGCCAAATTGTTAGCACTTGCATTATCAACAGTCACACAACATATAGACTTGATACCCCATTCCTTCATGCAATTCTCTAATGTTATCCCTATAGTTTCACCTTTATGGTCAGCAATTATACCAAAGCTTAATATACTCTTCTTTAAATTCCACTCGTCATCAATATAGTGAGCTGTAACACACATATAATTCATATTCTGAATCGATGTCCAAGTATCAGTGGTAAGAGACACCATTTGTTTATTAGCAGACAACATAGATTTCAATTTTTCTTTCTCATCGAAGTACAAGCATAAACAATCTCTGGCAACAGTGACACGAGATGGAATTTTGAATCTTGGTTGAGCCTCTTTCCTGAACATATTAAATCCTTCATTTTCAACATATTTAAAAGGGAGTTCATCAATGATTATCATCTTTGCAAGTGTTAATCTAGTCCTCTCTTGATTAAAATCAACAAGTTTCAAGCTAACACTATTAGGATCATCCTCACTTTCTTTTCCAATAGCTATAGTTTTTTGTTTCTTATCAACTACCCTATTTGGATTTTTCAGGCACACTTTCAAATGTTTATGCATGTTAGTAGTGCCATGACTACCACTATTTGCAGCATATTGTTTCCCACAATACTTACATATAGCCTTATCATTAACCCTTTTAAAATCTTTCCTGTAGAAGGTTTTCTAGAGGGTTTTCTTTTGCTTACCTCTATTAGTGCACTTGGTGGCAATGATGACAACCCTTCTCCTTGTATTTGTTGAACTTCTTGCTCTTGTTCAAGTGGATGAGCAACATCTTCACTGACAATTTGTGATTGTTCCACTTCCATTTTCTATAAAAAAACAATTTTTAATATAAATTATTATTAAAACAACATTAAACAAAATATATTTAAATTAATAATATGAAACAGAACAGGACTTTGCATCAAAATATATTTTCATCATATGAAACAAAATAGTACTTTGCATCATATGAAAAAAAATAGTACATTACATTGAACCTATCATCATATTTTGCATTGATATAAAACTATTGAAGTACATACTGTAAAAACAATATATTGCATTGAAATAAATATATTGTAGAACTATAAAAAGTATAAAACCTTATTCAATATGGAGACGAAACTATGAGAGAGTCAAAGTATAAACTGTGGATTTTCGAAAGCAAGATGGAATTGGAATGTGAGAGAGTAAAATGAAAAAAAAATCGTGAGAGAAAGAGGAGTGGTGACGTTTGAGATTTGCCGTAGTAAAAAAATAGGGTTAGGTTAAGTGGTATTGTCTTTAGTTTAGTAAGTTTCTAATATATACTTAATTATTATTAGTTAATAAAGATTCATTAAAAAAATAAAAAGGCAGTAAAGTGTAAACTAGAAGTGCATAAGTCAAGCAAGCATGATTAATATTAATAATAATGTTTAATTATAATAATAATAATAATTTAATGTGTGATTGGAAACTGGAAGGAAAGTGCAAAAGATCTTTGTGTACGTTACAATTTACAAAGTTATAGCAACTTTAAAATTTATAAATAATAATAATATAATAATAATAATAATAATAATAATTAATTATGCCACGTCAACGAGTTGAGTCAACGGGTTCATGGGTTTAGAAACTAAAACCCAATACCCGAACCAAATCTATACGGGTTGTTACGGGTTGGGTCGGGTATACCCGTAAATGAATGGGTCCGGGTAATTAGTGGGTTGGTTCGGTTTGGGTAGGCGGGTTTGCGGGTCGATCCGCACCCATGAACACCCCTAATTACATGCAATAAGTCTTGGTTTTCTGAACTAGATGAATCAGTGAACAGAAGTATTAGATTTGCAGACAATAGCAAAATATGTGCAACTGGGATTGGAAAGATCTTGATCAATAGGAAGGATGTCAAGAAGGCCTGTATTACTGATGTGCTATATATGCCAAATATGAAGAACAATCTAATTAGTATTGACAGCTATTACAGAAGGGATATACCTGCATATATTTATTAATTATAAAATTATACGAGTCTTTATTTTTTTAATAAATTATTTAACCTTTAATAGAGTATTACAGTTCTTCTAATTTTATAATCTCATATATTTTGAGTAATTTATTTTACTACATACTTTCAAATCTATAAATCCATCATTTCTCTTCCTTTTTCATCATATATCTAATTCTTTTTACAAATCAATTTCTTAAATGAGATTTTATATATCTTGACTTTAAAATCTTTTTCTTCTTTTCAAAATTTTTTCACAAATAAATTAATTTGCACTCTAAAATATTTCATATTTTACTAACATACCTATTTTCTCCATAAATAATATTACTAACTTAGATGTCGAGCATACGTGAGGTAACCAAAGTGGTACATTTCATCAAATTACATCAAAGGGGGTGCGTTTTCTACACTCTACACGTGCTCGTGCACGCCAACGTCATCACTTCACCGTACTAAAGCTCCGTAGGGCACAATCGTCAAATAAACTCCCTCTAAAAACCCGTAGCCGCCACAACACCTTTCCTCCGCCGTCACTACCATTGCTTTTTCTCCGTCACAATTTCATAATGGCCATAACCGCCACCATTTTAGTACCTATTACATCACCCACTCGTTGCTTTCTTTATGACGAATAAAAGAGTTTCAAATACTAGTTACTTGATTAATTTAGTTTTAAAAAAAGAATTTTTATTTATTTATTATGAATGATATTGTAAAACATTTACGTGATTTTGTTGTTGATATTAGTTAAAATATCAAAATTCTGCAAAAAGTTCTATCTTTGTATTTTATTATATTCATTGAGATCTTTATTATGTGAAAAATCAAGAATAATGTTATTTATTTTTAATTTATTTGTTCAACATGATATGAAGAATATAGAATAGCAAATGAAATTAAAATACATATCAACATTAGTTTTATTTATTTTTCCTAATTAAAAAAATGCAAGAAAAATAAATAATAATATTATATAAGTTTTACAAAAATATTATATAATAAAGTTAATAATTAATTGGTTAAATAGTATATATTTTTTATATTTTTCAGCACTTGAATACGTAATCTCCAACACAATGTGATTGTCTCTTTTAAGAAGTAAAGATAATATTTGAAAAATGCCACATAGAAATAATAGTGATGTGGCATCAATTATATTGAAATGTCAACATCATATTATATATTATATGTTATATAGCCTCTTTTATCTAGCATAGGAATGAAATTTGCTCCATTCTCTTTACATTAAACTAACATAAAAATGAGTGATAGGAAAATTTATTACAATTTGTAGATTTATAAATTCGTATCAATTATGAAAAATCTATTATCAATTATTAGATGAAAAGTATCTGAAAATAATAATACTTTTTTATGATTAACCGCGTAAACATTTTTAATTTTAGAAATATATTAGTCTTTATCAAACTTTACTGCCATATTAGATATTTCGTATTAACTACATCTGATGTAGCAAGCTGTATGTTTTTTTTTCTTATAATTTTAAATTAATTTTATATTATTTTGTTAATGAAAATTTATTTTTTATAATTATTTAGCAGATATTGATAATGCTAACTTTATTTGAGAAATATCACACGTTCATATGACGAATAAAAAAGTTTCAAATACTAGTTACTCGATTAACTTAATTTTAAAAAAAGAATTTTTATTTATTTATTATGAATGATATTGTAATACATTTACGTGATTTTGTTGTTGATATTAGTTAAAATATAAAAGTTCTGTAAAAAATTCTGTTTTTATATTTTATTATATTCATTGAAATCTTTATTATGCGAGAAATCAAGAATAATGTTATTTATCTTTAATTTATTTGTTCAATATAATAGGAAGAATATAGAATAGCAAATGAAATTAAAATACATATCAAAATTAATTTTATTTATTTTTCATAATTAAAAAAATGCAAGAAAATTAAATAATAATATTATATAAGTTTTATAAAAATATTATATACTGAGGTTAATAAGTAATTGGTTAAATAATATATTTTTTTATATTTTTCAAGACTTGAACACGTGAGATAACCAAAATGGCACATTACATCAAATTACATCAAAGGGGTGCGTCGCTCTACACGTGCTCGTCCACGTCAACGTCGTCACTTCACCATATCGAAGCTCCGTAGCGCACAATCGTCAAATAATCTCCCTCTAACAACCCGTAGCCGCCACAGCACCTTTCCTCTGCCGTCACTACCTCTGCTTCTTCGCCGTCACAATTTCATAATGGCCATAACCGTCACCATTTTAGTACCTATTACATCACCCACTTGTCGCTCTTGTCGCTCTCTTGCTTCCTTCAATTTCTTTCAATGTTCTTCCCGTTCCATTTTGTCTACACCACAAAGCACTTTTAAATACCCTAATTTCCGCCTCGTTGCTTCCTCCATGAAAACCGAAACTCCGCCGAAGACAACTTCCTTCCTCCACCAAAAGGAGACTGGTTTTCTCCATTTCGCCAAGTATCACGGTCTCGGAAACGACTTCGTTTTGGTGAGTTCATATTCCACTCTGATTCCCCTCATTGAATAACACCCGTGTTTAATTTTTGACGATATTTGTTGTTATGAATAGGTTGATAATAGAGACTCTTCTGAACTGAAGATTAGTTCAGAGAAAGCTGTGCAACTATGTGATCGTAACTTTGGTGTTGGCGCGGATGGAGTTATTTTTGTCTTGCCTGGAATCAATGGCGCTGACTATACAATGAGGATTTTCAACTCTGATGGTAGTGAGCCTGAGGTGATTACAAATTGTGATCTGTTCTTGGTTTTCATTAACTGACCCGTTTGCCCTGGTTTCTTATGTTTACACTTTTTTTTTCCTTAGATGTGTGGCAATGGAGTGCGATGCTTTGCCAAATTTGTTTCTCAGCTTGAGAGCTTACATGGAAGGCACAGGTATGTTCATTTTGCAGAACCACATACCATCTGGCTTTTTATGTCTTGTGGCTTGGGGTATTTTTTTTGTTTTTTTTTTATGTCTTTTGATGATACCAGTAATGATAGGGAATCATAGGTGATTTTATTACCATTGCCTAGTAGCTAGGCATGGCAATGGGACGGGTCGGGGACAGTTTTTACCTCCCCGTACCCAAACTCAATCCCCGATCAATTCCCATTCCCCGCCCCAAACCCCAATGGGGATGAAGAATTTAAGCCTAAATCCGTCCCAAGCGGGTTCGACTATCCCCACCTCGCCACCATCTATGCAATGAAATCAATTTTTAAATATAATTATTCATTTTTTCTTACATCAAATTACATTACAAATAATAAAATGAAACAATCTCAAAAAATTCTATACATAGATTTCAATAATAAAGTACAAATCAAAACATCAAAAGCATTGACCATATATTTAATATTCCAAATTATCAAAACTAAATAAAAGTACACAAATAGAAAGTGCATGTTCGGGATGGATAGTAGTGTCCCCAATATCCGACCCGTCCCATATTTTGTAATGGGGAAAACCCAGTCAAAGTGGGTTTTCTCTGTCAAACTCGAGGTGGGTTTCCACGGTTATGTTTCCATACCTACTAGTAGCCATTGTAGTTATTAGACATATTCTTGAAATTTTATCTTACATTGTATTTTCACACTTTGTAGTTTCACAATACACACTGGTGCTGGGCGGATAGTTCCTGAAGTCTTGGAGGATGGAAATGTATGTTCTTATTCTTATATGCTGCAAATATTTGCAATTTACTTGACATATGATGTTTGTTAAGAGGCGTCAGCATGGTGCTTCCAATCTGGCCTTTTTATGTACTGTTGTGAAGTTTTGATGTGATTTAATGTCGTGAAGAAATTTGTTCTATTTCTATAGCTTGATGGATGATAATACAAATTGATTCAGGTCAGAGTTGATATGGGGGAACCGGTTCTTAAAGCATCAGATGTGCCTACTAAATTATCTCCAAATAAGGATGGTGCATCTGTTAAATCAGAGATAGATGTTGACGGAGTTATCTGGAATGTGACCTGTGTTAGCATGGGAAATCCACACTGTGTAACCTTCAGTAGAAATGGAGTTCAGGTCATTATTCTTGTCATACAATTTAGGGCCAGTTTGTTTTAGCTTTAAAAAAATGGATTTTTTCTTTGTATTTTTGAAAATAAATTCTATAAAAACATTTTTCAAAATATTACAAGTTTTTCTAAATTTGTTTTTTATAAATTAAAAGACTAATTTTGACATATTATAACATAAACATACATAATTGAAGATCAAAACATAGTCAAAATCATAGTTTTTTCGAAAAGTTGTATCTCAAAAATGATTTTTATGAAAAACTATTTGAAATAGCTTCAAAATTAATTGATTTTTTGAAATTTTGATATCCAAAAAAAGTTTCGATAAAATGATGAAATACATAAAATAACATTTTAAGAATAACTATTCAAACTAAATATTCATTTGAAACTTCTATGAAAAGTTTCTTTGTAAAACTTTTTTACACTAAAATATGTTACACTATAAAATTCATTTTAAAAAAAGCCAAAACAAACGGGCCCATAATAACTATTTCATTCCCTTGTACATATTTTACATTGCATTCTGAATTTATTTAAAGGAATGAAACCGTATAGGAGTAGGAAGAAAATACATTGATCAATAAGATGATATTACATACATTGTCACATACAATTGAATGTATAACCATATCAGAAGAAGAAAAATGCGTATCAAATTTTGGTTAGTTGTTGCTTTAGCTGTATATTTTAAATTACATCTTCCAATGTCAGCTTTAATCTTTGTACTTACAAGGTGTTACATTTTTTTTTTTTGCTTTTGCTACATGTCATATTTGGTTTGATCTCTATTGCAACAGAACTTGATTGTTGATGAATTGAAGCTAGCTGAAATTGGCCCACAATTTGAACGTCATGAGATGTTCCCTGCACGAACTAACACAGGTCAGATTAGTCTCCTTTTATGATCAGAATATAGCTGTCAACTTCATTTTGATATTTATCCCATGCCCGCTTCCTAACATTTTCATTTCGCTTGCAAGGGCTTTTTAATTTAGATTGCTTCCTTGGTCTTCTGAATACATTCTGTCGAGATAGCGATTTACTGACATGTGGCCAGTAAATTTAATGTTTGTGGGACTAGGTCAGACTGTATGTCTAGCTAAGCTTTAGTAAGGGTGCATGTGCCTTCCCCTTGTTTAGAAGCATACAATTTTATTCCATTTTGTCTCTAGCTTTATTAATGTGTTATTCATTCCCCTCTTCCAGATTTCAATCCCTATTGTTCCTATTCCTTGAACTTGACCCGAATTGCTTTAATGACTAGTGAGTGGATTATCACTTCAATTCTGTTGTAATTCCTCACTCTTATTGTGTCTTGTGATTTAATGTGCAGAGTTTGTGCAAGTTCTTTCTAATTCCCACTTGAAGATGCGTGTTTGGGAGCGTGGAGCAGGTTAGAACATCTAGTTTCTTGGCTGTGTTGGATTGGTATTGTTAGTGTGGTTAGGGGAAGTCTAAGTTGTCTCAATTGTGTGGGAAAACTTTTTTGTTTTTGTTTTAATTTTTTATATGCAGCGGAAACTCTTGCTTGTGGAACTGGAGCTTGTGCTACTGTTGTTGCAGCAGTTCTTGAGGGCCGTGCTGGGCGAGTAAGTTTGCTATTTGATTGTAACACTAAAAACTGTTGACTTTTCATTAAAAAAAAATCAGAATATGGAGTATGTTATAAGGAATTGATAACAGGAAATTCACAAGCTAGCTCAATGGCAACTAGAAAGAACGAGGTATTTTAGAGACCCTCGTTAGTTATTTCAGTTCTGACATTATTCTGGAAGATGGTTTTCATTAAACACTTCTGGCAGTTTCTGACATTCTGATGCATATGTCACTAGAGTCGAAGTTCTTAGACTCAATCTTGACTAGTGCAGCAGTGTCTTTTTTGGTTTAGTTCTTGTACAAGACAGTTGATGTTATTTTCCTTGCTTCATATATGGTATCACCTAATCCTTGTCCAATTTGGGAGCAATTGCATAGAGGTGATAAAATCATGGTCAGCTAGATGGTACTGGCACTGCGTTGATTGTTACAAACCCCTGTTACAGTTATAGATCTGCTCCATATTATTTATGGATAGCTAACTAAGCTTTTTTATTTTTTATTTGATTTTTAAATTACTTCCTGTGATTTGGTCTTTTATGGGTTCTCACATGTTGGATGCATTAGTGCCTCGTTTGGTATTTATGGTATGGTACACATACTACCGTGTTTCATTAGGGGCGCTGGTGACCCGGGCTTTTGCCAAATCTTGGTTGCTACAAGTATTACTGTTGCAGCTATTCATAGCATGGCTTTTTCAGTTCCATTTTGTACGGATATGCATTGCACTTTTGTAGAGATTTGGTCATGCATTTTCTTGGAGTTAGTTTTGATTTTGGTCTTTTGAGATTATATTGGTTTTATTAAAGCCATTATAGTATAATATAACTTTGGGTGGTATTATTCCTTTTATTGGTATGCGTTTCAGCTTAAGAACATTTAAGAAGTTGGTTCAAATCTGTTGTTGATTCTTTTAAGACATCAATTTTTGGGTTTAGTCCTAATTTTAGGTTCTTGTTCATGTCATTTTTGTTTTTTAAAGTGAATATCTTATGTTTACAAAGCAACAATTTCCTCATTCTTTTCAATCTGTCATTTTGTTACAGAACTGCAGAGTTGATCTACCTGGAGGGCCTCTTCAGATTGAATGGAAGGATGAAGATAATCATGTCTATATGACTGGTTCAGCTGATCTAGTGTATTATGGATCTTTGCCTCTTTGAAGTACTGCCCCTAAACTAGAGAGAAACTTTACCCACCTTCATATTTTTGAAAAACCACACTTGATTTCAGAAATTTGAGAAGTGTAATACTGGACTGTAAGTACACTGTACACATCCATACTGTGGTTTTTTTCAGATATGTAATTCTAAGCGACTTTGGGGGTGGTACTATGTAGTTGGTGAATGAAATTAGAGTCATAAAGATTAATGGAGACTTGTTTGTGTTGAGAGATATTTGTAGATTGAGTGACAAAATAGTACCTTGATGATGATCACTTTGAGTTCACCTTACCAACCGGTTTTGTAAGGTTGTGTTAGGCCAAACTCTAATAATATATATATATAGGTAGAGAAAAAGGCATGGAAATTGTGAATAATATTGTGAAAATTGTGGTCGAAGAATGTAAGAAAAACAGTGAAAGGAACCTTTGATTGTAACGGAAGAAGAATAAACATATATGTGCTTTCGCAATTTTGATCGTTACATGTTATGTTGCAACACGACCGTGATTGTGAATTGATCACAATTTAGTCCGGTGCCGATACTATTTTGTGAAAATGCCGTGGACCCTTTTTTTTTAAAAACCTTGGCTTCATGCATGATGCACGCTATTCTTTTTCGGTTTTATTTTCTACATTTTAAGAAAGATATTATATAAATGTTTGTATGAACATTAACTTACATATATATACATGTTATTTTGATAGAGAAAAAGGCATGGAAAATCCAGTGATTGTGAATATTGTGATAGAAGAAGGTTACAAAAACAAAAACAGCGTAAAGGAACCTTTGATTCCAATGGAAGAAGAATCTTCAGACGTAGAGAGGATTAAGGCATCAGTCCTTTTCTCGGTGTGTTTTTGCTTAGCAATGATATTCGGTCCTTGGCCAAGTCAGCATGCTTCATACATCAGCGAACCACTCACTTTTGGGTTAATTATGGCCGGCTTAATCGTTATAGTTTTATACCTTCAAATATTGCTATTATGCATTGCACTAAAAGACTGGCCTGTTAATAGAAACAATTTTATATTCTTATTCATACTTGTGATAACAGCTACAAAACAAGTAATAGAAGCCAGGTTCTTTGATTCCAACGCAACTGCTATCATGATTTTGATCTTTTGGTGCATCAGTCTCACAGTCGTTGTTACCGTTAGCCGCCAAGAGTTTTATAAACTATATAGTTGCCTCAAAAGAAGAACCCGCTTAACCTAGTTTTTAGAATTACTTGTTCTTAATTTTAGCTTTACCTAGTTTGCAGTATTTTTCTTAAGTTTAACATTGTTTCCTGTTAAGTATGAACTACTTTTCAATTTTCCTTTATGAATGAGAAATATAGTCACAGTAGTAATATTATTTTAAATTGTTACTGCAATATTGATGATGCCTATATTCTGCAACTGTATCACACTGCAATTGTAGTGTGATTGTGTGGCATAGATCTTCTGTCCTTAAAAGGTTTCTAATCTGCTACTGTTTTCATCCATCTTCTATTGAATCATTCATACATAATATCTATTCATTAGCATAAAAACCAGTACCGAAACAACATTTTATGCAATATCATACAAACAGTTCTCGAGGTACCGAGGGTTCCGAATCATCACATTGAGCTTAAGCGTCTTTTAATATTCACTATAAAACCTTAAGATATTGTATAATGATCTAAGTCCATATTCTTAAAGCCCATGAGAATTAATGGTGGTGAGTCACTACCCCTTAGAGAGATACCACGCTACTAGGCAATCAATTATTTTTTTGGTATCAAAAATGGTGAAAAATTATTTAATATTTAATTTTTATTAATTTTAATTTATTTCTAGTGTGCAATATATTAATTAACTTTTATTAATTAATTAACGTGTTGTCCATTCCCGTCTCATTCTCATCACTTCATATTTTTGTATTCTAAAATCATTATTCTCTCTTTCAACTTTGTCTCATCTATAATTTTTATTTTTGCATTTTTTTAGTGGCTTTTTTACGCCATCTACAACTGGTATAAAAACCAGATACTAAAAACAATACTTATACCATATTCGAATGGTGATTGTACCATCATATAATGTGATTCTAGATAGATTATCTACCTTGCAAGTAGTAATCGTACAATATAAAACTTAGAACTTTACTGTTTTATCCTAGAGGCGTCATGGTAGATTGTGATTGTTTTGCATAACTTTGGGTAGTGTCGTGAATCTTCTTAAAGAGAGAGACCTATTCCGCGACTCGACCTGATAATTTCTTCAATGACAATTTTTAAAAACCGTAAAACAATAATTTCAAGTCATTTCAAAACTGTCATAACTAACGAAGAAGTTATTGGTTATTCTACTACTAATGTCTCTGACAAACTATTCAGGTTTAAGAGTAGTCACTTCAAACGTTGACAACAAAATATTTTTTTACTTAACCTTAAAAAAGATTGCTAATATTTTGACCGACGACAGTCCTGTTACTCCTTCTGGATCAACTGTACAAACTGACAACAAGAAATATGTGAATTCAGATGAAAGTGTTACTTCAACTTAATTAGATCATAATGTATAAACTAAAGCGAATGATTTTCAGCTGGTGAAAGAATGCGCCCAACGGAAAGAGAATGACTATCTCTGCAAAAAAAAATCACATTCTGAATAGACTCGCTGATTATCCGTATGATTATTAAAGTGACTAGAAAACTGCAAACAATTATGGAAGACTTTGGAAAAGAAGTATGTTACTCAAGACGCTGAACCAAAGAAGTATATTGTTAGTCGCTACTTGAAGTATCACAGGGTAAATGAAATGTCAGTGGAGGCTTAATGTCACAAACTTTAAAAGATTTCTCACGAGATCATCTCTGAAGGTATGCCCTCAGATGAACAATTTCAATTTGTTGTTATTATCAACAAACTTCCTGAAAGTTTAAAAGATTTTAAAAACTTGATTCACCATAAAACGAAAGAATTTTCAATTGAGATTCTGATTACTCACCTCTGAATTAAATAAGAATCTCATAGAAAAAATCAGAAAGATGAAGTCTTCATTGTTTCTAACAACAAAAAGAAGTTTGATGTGGTTCTAAAGTCTTTTGGCAAACCACTAAAGAATCAGAACCACAATGCATGTTGTGTTAACAACGAAAGTAAGTTTTAAAATCATCGTATAAACAGAGAATTATGGTTTTGTGTTTGTTGTGATGCGAAAAAAGTAAATGACAAGAAAATAAATAACAGAAAGTAAAGTTGGAGATTTTGGTATTAATAGTGAGAATGCTTGTTGGGGATGGGTTTCATCATTACGTATGTATCATGCACACCATGAAAACAAGTTTTAAGTTGCAAAGCTAACATAAGCATTAAGATTAAAGAGTCATCAATATTACAGAAAAAATAGATTTATACAGAACGTTGTGGCATATTTAGTACAAGAATATAATAACTACATCTAACCCCAAAAATGAATTTTTTAGCTACGCTTATACATGGTAAGCGCAACAACTGGTCTTTCTAGAGACGTCGACTTTGGAAACCAGATATGCACTATTACCTAAGCAGTGCTTCTGCCTTTACATTTCTTTTCTTATCCTCCCGTCGTAGATCAAAGTGAACCTACTCTAATTCTATACTCCTCTGATCCATTAAAATTACCTTTTGTGTAAAACTAAAAACTTACATTTATAGGAAAAATCACAAGCCTCGCAATAAATGCACAGTTCTCTCGCCTAACGCACCTACCATGCTCTATAACCATGACCAACCAGCTATCTTCTTCAGCAAACAATGCGTGCATATCTTCCACATGTTCTTTGTTGAGTTTGCTCGCCCAGACACCACCCTCTCGACTAACGTGTTAACCCTTGTTGCACCAAGTGCTTCCACCTTGCTCTACACTACGCCTAACGCGCTTGTAGATGATGCCTAGGGAGACTAAATTCTTCAGAGTATGATTTTTCCAGTTTTCTTTGTTCTGGTTTGTGGTTTTATAGTTCTTTTTCAAATGCAAGTTCACAGACAACATCATAATTATCCATGAACTATAACATATAGATGGATATTTTGCTTGACCAAAGTAAGATTTTTAAAATGAGTCAAAGTTAATAGTTGATCGTTCGTTAAGATCGTGATCTCACTGAGTATCTCTCAGTGGTTAGTGTTTCCTTCAGAAATTTAGATGATACATATACTATAGTAATACTTTGTATATTGTATCAGCATCATCACAAGATATATTATCAGTCACGGATCACTAAGGTGATTTTTTAGGTTGTAATGTGGTTGGACTTACAAAACGTATTGGTTTTTCTTTGGATTCAAAAGCATAAAGATAAGAGAGCGTAAGATATTTCTTTTTCACATATTTCTCTTTCTTCATTTCCAATTTCTTACAACCATTCTTTTGGTGCCTTTTTTCTTTTGTATGCTTGTCTTTTTTATCTTTTAATTTTCTAAAAGCGTTTTTCTTCCTTTTCATGCACCAGTACTACTTGAGTTTCTTTAAAATAAAATATAAAAAAAATCTTTTTTCACTTTTCTCTCAAACTTTCGCTTTTACAATATGTAACACCCTGTTTTTCGTATTTCATTAATTGTGTTATTTTAATTAAATTTGTGATGTGTTGGTGAATTATTTTATTTTATGTGTTTAGGGGTAGATGGGCTAAGAGGAGAGAACACACCCTTTAGAAATGAAAAAAGATTTTAATTTAATTTAATTATTTAAATGGATAAAAATAGAGTTTGGGGGGGGGGGGGGGGGTTTAGAAATTAGGAGTTTATTAGAATTTGGGGTGTGGGAGTAATTAGAAAGAGATGAGGGTATCATAAGTAATATTAGAAACATATAATTAGGTTTTATTTGTTTTGTTTAAATAGAAAGTTGGGGTAAAATATGTTTAGTTTGCGGTTGGTGAAATAAGAGCGATTTGAGAGAAGAGGTAAGCAAGGGTTTGGAAGATGGAGAGTTAGAAGGAGACAACATTGAAAAGTTTAGATATTATGTAATCCTAAGGTAA